TTAGTTTTAGGACTTACAAACAACCGTTATGTGAACAAAACTATAATACTCTCCTTAGCAACTTTGTTGCGAGAGTATAAAAATGGTGCCATTCAAACCGGGCGTTCAAATTTAAGCTCTTGTATGGGATATTTTGTATTTGTGAAGGATATTAAACTCGTAACTTGGGAGCAAACGAAGTAAATGTTTCTTCTCATGTTTCTTTAACTTATTCACAACAAAATAAATGTATATCAAAGACAACAACAAATATATTTCTGTAAAATAAATATGTACACGAAAAAAAATAGAAAACTCCACTAATTAAAATTTTGGAATKTATTAAAAAATTTAACAAATCTTAAAAACAAAAACTACAAATAAAAGAAATACTTTTTTAAATACCTTAAAAAAAAAACAACAAATACAAAAAATACCATACTAATTATGCGATTAAAATAAGTGAGTGCATGCTTGACTTAATTTGTTTCAACTTTAACAACAACGTCCTTGACTAAACACATACATACACATGTGTTTGTGTGTATGCTGGTGCATTCTTGCAATTACGGTATTCGCAAATAACCGTTGCCAAAGCAGCAGCACACTTCACTCGCCGATTTAGAGCGTTTAATTGTGGCATTCTCGCCCGGCCCTGAGTCGGTCACTTCATTTGCATATTATTCGAACGCGCGCGCTCAACCGGATTAACTAAGAGTTTGATTAAAGCACACATGCACATATATACATATGTATATCTATAGCCATATCTACATGGTTGTGTGTGTTTCTGCATAAAATATTATTATTATTGTTATGATTAAATATATTGAACGTTATAGTAATATGCTTTACTTTGTTGTAGTAAATTGTTGTTGTAGCCTTTTGCACTGCACTGCTGCGCTGGCACGTCAGCGCGCAAATTACTGCATAATTTAAAAAGTCACATTGCAGCGCTGGGTTGGGCTGCGCATGCGCATGCGCCGTAAACGGTCACAAATAATTAAAAACCAAAAGCAAAAACAACARMACAACATGCATATATAGTACATRTGTGTGTTGCTAGCAGAGGCAGGCCGTGTAGCGCTTAATTTATGCAGCACAAGAATTATTTTCGATTTTTTGTTGGCACTGCAATAACAAGAACAAACAGCGTGACCATTCTAAAATTGTTGCGATATTATTACACACGCACACACACACAGGCAAACACAAACATTGATAAATATTTGTATACAAATGCATGCTGCTTGGGCTGCAGCGCCGATTAAAATGTCTAAATTAATCAAGCAACAAAATCCGAAATCGCTTTGGCTGGGGTGTTATTACTCCGCGGCGCGATATTGATCGAGATAAGGCATTTAGCAGCAATAAGTGATTTATGCAGCCAGCGTGCGAATGCCTTTATGCATGTACTATGTATATAAATACCTATGTATGTGTTTGCGTGCCACCCGTTTCATGCGCTCATATGCTAATGCGTTGCTTGTTAAAGCGCATTAAACTGTTGGATGATTAACCGCTTGTCCGCAGCAAATTGACAAGTTTTGCTAAATTTATGCCTTATTATTAAACGCAACCATAATTTGTCAAAGCTCAATAAATTTAGATGGCATCGATAAGACAAATTGGTTGTTGCCTATTCGGATGGAAAAACAAGAAAAAACGTTAACTTCGGTTGCATCCTTCACAGGTGTATTTCTGTTAGTAACTATGTATTCTGTTTGTATGGAAGCTATATGCTATAGTAATCCGTTCTGAACAATTTTTTTTGGATATTATATTGTTACCTTAAGCAGTAATCCATGAAAAATTTCGTGACGATACGACGTCAAATGCGAAACTTTTCCATACAAGCACTTGATTCCGATCATTCGGCTTGTATGGCAGMTATATGCTATAGTGAGCCGATCTGAACAATTTCCTCTGATATTGCATTATTTCTATAAACAATAACTCATACCAAATTTCGTGAATATATTTTGTCAAATGTGAAAGTTGTCCATACAAGCATTTGATTGCGATCATTCAGTTTGTATGGCAGCTATATGATATAGTGGTCCGATATCGGCAGTTCCGACAAATGAGCAGCTTTTTGAAGAGAAAATGACATATGCAAAATTTCGAAACGATATCTTAAAACTGAGAGACTAGTTCGTATATATACAGACATACGGACATGGCTAAATCGACTCAGCTCGACATACTGATCATTTATATATGTATATACTTTATAGGGTCTCCGACGCTTCCTTCTGGGTGTTACAAACGTCGTAACAAACTTTATATACCCTGTTCAGGTATATAGTACTAATGAGCAAAAAATAGTAAGTCTTTGACGTGTTTTTTCGGCTTCGACTCAYTTTTGCCACGACATTCGCCCGATTAATGGTCTGTTTCTGAGTCGCAAGCGCAGATCCAAGACTCTTCGCTAGTAATAATACATACGTTTCATGACATCCCGATAATCTGAAAGCATTGCTTCAGAGACTTTGACACGACGTTTTGTTTCGAAAAAATTTAATAATTTTGGCGCCAACCATGTTTTCACTTTTCTTAGGCCCAAATGATCTTTCAAAATGATTTTTACTGATCTTGCGCATATTCCAACAATGCCAGTAAGATCTCTGACTGCTAATCGTCAATTTTCAAGTGTCATTTCCTTTATTTTGATCACTTCACTTTCAATGCTTCCGCACCATATAGCAGGACGGGAATGATGAAAAACTTGTAGAGTTTGATTTTTAATCGCAGAGAGAGGACTTTACTTTTAAATTGCCTACTAAGTTCAATGTAGCATATGTTGGTAAGTGGGGAGGTCCTTTCCGATCTTKCGTCATAAAGGCAGTTCCTTTTYGTGCTGTCGAAAAAGGTGTATCGATCTTCTTTTCCAGGTCTAAAGYCACACTAATTGGATCACATCAGTTTGTCGACGGTGGGTTTCGAGTTTCGCACACTACGCTCGATAAGGCTGTATATGCGATGTTAAGGAGGCTTATCTCACGKTAACTTGCAAAGATGCCTTTTTGCATATTGAGCAGACAACTCATATCGTGCAAAGTARCTGACCTTGCCAGCCKTATTTGAACAGCTCAACCTCTTTGGGTTCTACAAGTGTATGCTCAGGTCTTGAAACCTCCTGTTAGTCGCCGCATGTTTTCGCAGAATTTTCGGACATTACATCTGTCTGGCAGCTTGTTAGTTCTTCGTATTCACATTTCGACCTCTCTCTTTTTTTTCGTCTCGCGCTTCCCTCTTCCGTGCTCGGTATCTAACCCATCCCGCACGTGTTGTGGTCGATTGTAACGTTGCGAGGTAAACGCAGTCTGTTTTCTATGCACTGCGACACGGCACTCCTCATCATTCCACCTGTTCCTTTGGCTGTTCCGAACTTTTTTGTATTTGTTGACTTGTGTATCTTTGCCGCAACAAGATAGTGGTTCGAATCAATGTGGGGACCTCGGACTTAAGACGTGTCTGCCATCTATCGATCATGATAATATAATCAATTTTCAATCCGGAGACAGCCAGGTRGCTTGATRAATTTTTTTGTACTARAAACTAGTACTTSAGATAACCATATTTCGTTACCCGGCGAAGTCGATCAGCCACAACCCAWTTGAGGATKKTTCATCATGGAGGATACTGAATTCACCGACCGTTGTATCAAAGATAYCTACTTTGCCCACCCTGGCTTTAGACTTTAAAATCACTATTTTGATATCGTAGCGGGGCAGCTTTCATAGTTGCGCTCCAAACGCGAATCAACGATATTTTGTAGAATTWCGCTTTGATGYSAATCGTGGCTAGACGTTCATCCACCGGGGTAAATGCCATGAATCGGCGACGGAGTCTCTCTTCTAGTACTAATCCCACARCGAATTTGCGCTCATTTATATGGCGACTTTAGTAAATGCTACAAGGACCTACTAGTCTCAGTCCTTGTTCCTTTAATCATAGTTTTTGGACGGCGGWGATGKCAGCTTTTATTTTTACGAGGACATCAACCAACTGAGCAGCGGCACCTTCCCAATTAAGGGACCTCTTCCGAGGCTGTTGTTTGGTTTTCATTGTTATGTGACGGGTCCCAAACCCACCGCACAATCCCTGGGAGAGATATTAAGGGATATATTAAGCTTTATGAATTCTCTACGTTAGCAGGTAAATATCAGAACAATTTTTCCAAAACTAAACAATGAATATTTGGCTCCCTTCACAAATTATTACTTTGCAAATGTTTTTTCCTTTCAATTGGTTCTGAACTTTCAAAATTCAATTTCAGCTAACAAAAATGAATTTTTCTAAAATTAGTTGCAAAGTTTCAAATTTTTTGTATACATATTTTTCTRTTATTCCAAAAGTTTCATTTAAAAAATCCGCTATGACTGGAAATAAGAGCGATGAGGCGAACTCGCATGCTGCYGACAGTTCGGCGAACCCAAAATCCAAGGCCACCAATCCGTTCTTCATYTTTCTGCACGAGTTTCGCCAGAATCTAATGAAACGCGGCGCCTACAAGAACATGACAGCAAAGGAGATCGCCTGTGCTGCCGGCGAGCGCTGGCGTCAGATGTCGGCCGACGARAAGCTCAACTATGTGGTGTGGGCGCGGAAGAATCAGCAACAATTGGATCCGCGTTTGCGCGTGTCACCGGGAAAGACRGGGCAGCGCGAAGTGCATAGCAACAGAAGTGAGAGCAAGAGCGTGCAGCGCCGCGGATCTCGACAGAAAAAGGTCACTATGCAGAAACGTCGTCCSAGTTATATTAAGTGAAGTGGTGATTTGTCGCYAAACAAGGGGTTGMAGCAAGAGTTGCCTTACACTTTTTATCGCTGTTGAAAATTTTCTGGTGACACATCATTTTGTTGCTATTTCGTGTATTTTCTTATTATATGTCATTGCATTTTCTTATGTTTGTGACAGTAAAGGTATTTTATAAYCGTGAGTTACTGTGTTTCGTTTTTAAATGCTGCCTCCTTAGTGAATTWTTAGCATTTTGCTTTAAAGAGCACTGAAAATTCTCGAGAAGACGAACATTTTAGCGGATGAACTAATCTGAACTCACTACGCTATGAAAATACTTTATAGTCCTTTCTAAAAATGTGCATGTCAAATGTGCGAGTCCGTTAAATAGAGTTCAGTTCCGTTTCCTCCACCAATATCAGTAAAACTTGGTCGTTTCCTTGAAAGAATTCGTGAGTTACTTCTTTAGATTCTGTTTGCTTTGTCCAGAAACCGATATAGAATTTAATCCCTAAAATCTTGAAATATTGAGCTAGAGAGCGGRAAATCTGGAATTATATTCCTATTAAGATATGCCTCGACCATTTTTAAATTAAGCATTTTTGTATCAATACTACGTTCAATTTTCATATGTGTATATATTTTTTAACTTTAGGTTATAGTACTCAAATTTTGTGAGCATGTTTCTTTTCAAAAATTACTCGAGGAGTTTCAAAATACACAAATGCCTAATGCTCAGGGGAGAGAGTAACATCAGATTTTTCCACCTGGCTTGTGTTTAAAAATATTAGTACGGCACTGAAATTTGTTAGACGTGTTTCTTTTCACAAATGGCTCAAAGAGTTTTGAAAGGAGTAACTTGGGTTGGATATTCGATCGATTTTCTGTATAACAGATTACTAATTTTATATGTTGGAAGCTGTAAATTTGAAGCAAGGGATTTGCAATGTAGTATGTACATATATTTCTATTCTCAYTTGGCTCGACGTATTTCAAAATTATTAAATGTACAAGTTTATATTTTAGTGGGCTTGGTTTATTTCCAAGTTTAGTAACAACATTAAAATTCGGTATATTTATTTTTTTTTTTGTTTTTTAACGTATCCCTCGACAAATTTCAAAATAAGAAGTATGGGTGCATGTATGTAAATAGTATATCAACATTCCATATAACAGTTTTTAGAGGCTTGGAATGTYTCAGTATTGAGTTACACTGCTGAAATTTGGTATACTTGCTTCTTTTCGAGAATGCCTCGATACATTTTAAGGAAAACTGAATGACATGGATTCTACAAGCAACTACCATGTACAAGTTTTTATGGACTTGATTTATTTCCAAGTTACGCCCCTGAAATTCGGTATACTTGCTTCTTTTCGAGAATGCCTCGACAGATTCCAAAATGAGGTTTAAAACTGCGGYCCCCCTCCCTTATATCAGTTCTTTTGGACTTAGTTTGCTTTAAAATTAAGTTTCATCGATGCAACTCGGTTTATCTGCGTCTTTTCACCAACGGTTCGACCAATTTCAAATAAACAGTATACTGTAAAAACTTTCACCATACAATATAACATTTTTTTTTTGACAGAGGATGTTTTAAACTTAAGTTACATCTGTTAAACTCGGTATATAGCCCTATTTGCATAAATGTCTCGACAAATTTCGATTTGAACAACATCGGAAAAGAACAAAGTCCAGCTGTCATATAACGGTTTACCATATTAAGTGATTATTAGGTTTTAAACTTAAGTTACTTTGCTGAAAGTTAGTATATAGACCTATTGGCATAAATGTCTCGACAAATTTCGGTCTGAACAATGGTCGGAAAAAAACTAAGTACARCTACCATATAGCGGTTTACTATATTAAGTGATTAGTAGGTTTTAAAATTAAGCTACATTTCTGAAATTCGGTATATCTGCTTATTTTCGCGAATTGCTCGAGCAATTTTTAAATGATCGGCAACCGAAGCAAAATAACGCCAATTCCGATTTAACGGCTTACCTCTTTGAGTACTGGGTTTGCTTGAATATAAAGCGACAATGTTGAAATTTTTTAAATAAGCTTTTACTTACAAATGACTCGACAAGTTACGCAATGAGCCGCATTAGTTGACTAATAACACATATAACGGTTAATATACAGGTATATCATAGAGCGGTAGGTAAATTGTCTGTTTACATTATTTTGACTTAGCAGTAATTATTGTTATTATTTATAATTATCTGTTTAGCCAACTCAAAACTGTTCATTAGTCACTTAAAAATTCCTAGAAGCGTCAAAAGTTTCGCGCAAATAAATATTTTCGGGAAATTCGCTACAACTACAACTTAAGGAAAACCCCAACGAAAAGAATATTTACGAGCGCTGAGAATGTCGGCGCTTTGTGGCTTAATTGCAAACGAAATTTATCATTAAGACGAGGTACAGCAATGACCAGAAACCCAAAATATAAATTACACAATAACAACAACAACACCGACTAGCTCGAGACCACAATACCTTCAATCTTAAATCTCATTAAGTTGGCAGAATATTTTCGATTTCGATACATGATAAATTTTAATACCGAAAAATTCCAACAATTAAACCGTGACTTTAATGCGTGTTTACAGCTTGAAAACAACAACAACAACAACAACATAGTTAAGTCGAAAAGCAACAAATACATGCAAACATTTTCCACTAAGCTGCTAAAGCATTGTCTATGTATGTGCATGAATGGAAGTGCATGTGTGTGTGTATATGGCCACGAAACGTATTCAGCCAACAATAAAAAAGCAACAACAACAAGAACAACATTATATCGCTGAAAATACGACAAAAATAGATTTACAAAACCGAAACATCATCAGCAACTACAGCAACAAAACATTGAAAAAAAGAACAACAACAACGACATGGCGTGCCAACAAAAAAGACCTTGCTTTCGATTTCATTCCATAAAACGCTCAATCGCCATATTATAGCCGTGTTTTAGACTGGTAAGCAAAGAAGACGTAAAACAGCACAGTAGACAAAGGCGCAGAAGAAGAGGGGGCAGAAGAGGACGTGGCTAGAAGGCGAAGTAAAAGAAGTACACACAGCAACAATGGCAAAGCAGCTAAACAAGACCAAATTGGTAATAATAATAAATTAATGTTAATACAAATACAATAACAACAAAAACATGGTACTGCCTTTAACACAACAACAATACAAGAGTGGTATGCGTAGTTAAAATGGTTKGTTGTGGGGAGGGTAAGAAGCGGGCGCATGCGCAGAAGTCCTGCTGGACTATGTATGTAATATAACAACAATAACAATAACAAAGAAGGAAAAAAAGTAATAATAACAACAATAATAATGCTACCATTAATAACAACAACAACAATAAGTACGACGAAAAAATAATGAAATAAATATAATTATAACAACAACCACAACACCAAAAAACAAAAAGAAATATATAAAATAATGGTCAAAATAATATTATTGTAACAAGAACAACAATAATACTAGCAATAACAACAAAGCAAAAACGACAACAAAAATAATAAAATATTAACAACAACAAAGATAATACTAATACCAACAATAATAACATTATTATCATTATAACAAGAACAACAATAATACTAGCAATAAAAACAAGGCAACAACAACAAAAAGTAACAACAACAAAAGTAATWAAACATAAGCAGCAATAATATTATTATTAGTGCAGTAACAACAACAGTAAATACTAGTCATAACAAAAAACCAACAGCAACAACAACAATAATACCAGCAACAACAACAATATTACTTATAATACCAGCAACCAAAGCACCGCAAAACGCTAATAAAAACCAACAACTATCGAAATAACAACAACAACCTAGGCAGCAACAACAACAAACTGAACGAGAGGTGCTTCGAAGGCAATACATTTAGAGTCATAAATAAAATAAGTTTTTAACTCACTCATTTACATGGATGTATGTGTGCGGTTGCCCGATCGAGCATATGCGCGCGTGAGTGTGTGTGTGTGTTTGRCTTAGAAGTGAACAGAAGTGGAACAAAAATAGAAAACTGGCTTCAGTCTTGTATCTAACGGATATCATCTACCATAAGCCAAATGCATGTATACCAAAATTCATGTACATATTTACACACACACATACATATGCACGTATATGTGTTTATGCACATATAGTACATCGGTTGTCGGTAAGTGTGCTTGCTTGCTAACAAATCAGCGACTCTAGAGCAATCAAACGCTGCAAACTGGCCAACACAACAGCTGGAGGAACAAAGCGACGCACAGACAGACCAAAAGTCGACAGGCAAACGGACGGACGAATGGACAGAAAGCGGCGCAGAGATAAGAGACAGC